CTCTCTTTCTCTCTATCATTCCTTTTTGTGTGCTTATTGGCGAATGCGAATTGCGACCCCGATTGAAAATCCGGAATCGTCCGATAAATTAATAAACACCTCACCCACCAGCTCTGCGTATTTTCATTTGCACATCGAATCAAGCCCTTCCCGTCTGTATATTCACTTTTCACTCGTATTTGATGCCTTTTGATTGGCCCAATTGTCGAACGATGATTATTGGTTATATTTACCTTCCATATTCCAGAGTTATACTTTTTACCAGAAATTCTTTTCAACTGATCGAGGGATGAAGGACAGTTGATTACTCGGCATTCGGCGGATTTTCGATAATTGGAATTTTATTGTTCTCTTTGTGACTTTTGATTTTGTTAAGGGTTCATTTGTCTTGATCATTGCGTGCGGACTTGGCGTATTGATTCGGTTGGATTAATTGAAAGTTATTTCGTTGCTAGATCCAAAAAGCGTCTGCCCAGAAGTTTCTTCATTTCAGTTTCGAATTTTTCAACACTGGATACACATTATTTTTTCGTCAATCTAATTGACTTCAGATCGGAGATCGGCAACTGATATTATTTTTCCAATGTTTGTATTTTTATTTCGAATTATTTTTTCCGTTGAATTAACTCCCAAATTTTTAAAAATTCAGTTGAAATTTCAATTTTTCAAATTTCTGTTTTTCTATATTTTTTATATATTAATATCTCAGAATTGAGGGAAGATGCGAAAAATTTTGTTCCTACATTTTTTATAGAAAAACATTAGGGCTACAAAAAAGGTATCTATAAAAATATCCGTATCTGACTCCAATCTCGAGATATCATCTGAAAACTGGCCTTGAAAAAAATGCAGTCCAGTTCAATTTTTCAATTTTCATGAGATAACATTTTTTCAAGTCAATTCAGTGAGGAATCATTCGTTGGGTGAAAGTAATGTTCTGAAAATGGTTGAACGCCAGTTTTTCGAGTGATAAAAACATCACAACAGGAATACGATAGCGAGTGGTTGATGTTAAAATCCATCTGTTATGCCTCGTCATGGAAAAAACAGAACGCAAAACCCCTCTAAATCACTGGACAATTTCATCGATAAGATCAGTAGACACCTGGCAAGAAACCCCCGACGATAACACGAGCTGAGAAAGGAAATGGGTAAGAACGGGAGTCACGTACGCACGATTTCCGGAAATTCGTCATTTATCTGTTCATCCCTTGGAGCGGTTGCCCCATTCGTCCCTTTCTCCCATTCCAAGTTTTGTCAGAGATACTTGGGGTAATGGAGACTATAGAAATGGAGAGATCCAGATTAAGTGATACCGGGAATCCCCCAAGGCAAGGAGATTGTTAATTTTTTTATGACAATTCGAATTTTAACTGAATTTCTTATTGATTTCTGGATGGCTAGATCATTATTTTCGCGATAAACAATCTTCTTATTTTTACGTGGAAAAAAAAATTATTATTGTTTTTCAATTTATTGCGCTACGCGAAACGATAATAATTTTTGAATTTTTTGAATTATTGGTTTTCATGAAATTTTTCAGAATTTCTGTTTTGAAATGTTAACTGTTTATTATCGCTAATTAATAAAAAAAATGGGACAGTTATTGGTTTGGATAATTGAACAAAAGGTTTTGCAATTTGTAGTGAGTAGTTGAGAAAATTTTTGGTTTAAAAATAAAAAAAAATCAACAGTTCGCAAATTTTTCAAATAAAATTCATTTGAGGTAGAACCCATTATCTAATGCAACAAAAAAAAAATTAAATCGATTGCGCATTTTGTTCTCGAGGAATAATTACAGAAAGTTAATAAATGGACATAATTAAGAATAGTTACAATGGAGATTTATTTATATTATTCAATAAACATTCATATAGAGTTTCATCCTAAGACCACACAGACGGCATCTCCAAGAAATAATTATCTAAAAGTATAATAAATATAAATTTACGTAGGTCTGTAATATGATCGTATTCTTTTTGCTCTTTTCAATACTGTCAAAAGATTGTGCTTTAATCTGGACCGTTTTATATGGCATAAACTTTTTGCCGGGACTGTAGCGCGACAACAACCTTAACCTAACCTTCACGTCGAGGCTTAACCTTCGAATATTGAATATTTGAAAATAATAACAGAGTGTTCGACTGAATTTACATTTCCTCTGGATTACACATCGGGAGGGTAGAATTGGGGTGGATTTTTCATCCTCGTGGATTATCGACGCCTGCGCGGAAATGCCAACCGGCAATAACCGCGAACGCCGGTTCCGTCTGTTTAGTTCAGTTGCGTCTCAACGTCGGATCTGGAGACGCGTCTTTCGTCTCCCAATGAAAATTCAAAATTCTCCACTGCCACATGACCTGCCATTACCTGATTTCCTTACAAATTCATGATAAAATTCAAAAATTCGGCGGTAAATTCCCGTCCCGTCAGATTCCTAGTCAAAATCATTTCCAAATTTTCTGATATGAAAATATTCGGCAATTGACGGATTTCCGGAATAAACAAATACACCGTGGCTTTTTGAATACTTTGTGGTGCTTTTTGGGGAATGGAATGCGGAATATTTATTTGAGCCATGAATAGTGTCGATGAAAATTCTAATCGGATTGTTTGATAACGTTTTAATCGTTGTAAATGCATCCACGTGAGACACGTGCAGTCTAAACGGATATGTGAAAATGTGGTTGTGGAGATCAGTGAAAATTTTACGTATTTGTGTACTTCTTGTTTTCATGGGGCGCAGTGATGGGTATTTGAATATTTTCATCAGTCAGTCTCAAGTCATGAAGCTCTTGGGTAAGTCAAACTGC